AATAAAGCCATCAGCAGGAATCTAATTAATGGATTTGCTAACAGCCATTCCAGAATCACAGAACATTGGGATTGGAAAGAGTCTCAGAGGCTACCTCATCCAACTTATATCTGACCAAGAATCCTTTTTTTTTTCAGCATAAATGATAAGTGGTTACCCAACTTTTGATTAAAAACCTCTGATGATAGGGAACCTACTACCTCTCAAGGTAGCTCTTTCTGCTTTTGCATATCTTTAATTGTTAAGTAGACGTGTTCTGTTTTGTTTTGCTTTGTTTTTACATTGAATTTTATTTGGATTCTCTGCATTTTCCATGTATTGTTCTGCTCTCCGTATCCAATCAGAATAAATCTAGACCCTCTTTCACATGGATAGCCATTCATCTATTTTAAGAACATCTTCATGTCTCCTCCCAATCCCTCCAACCCCATCAATTTTCTCTTTTGCAGATTAAATACCCCTATAATTCATCCAGGACAACAGTTTTCAAAATATGGTCTGGAGACCCTGGTAGTCCCTGACACTCTTTCAGAGGGCCTTGGAGGTGAAAACTATTTGATAATGTTACCAAGAGATACATTTTCATTTCTAATATGATAAATATTGAGACAAATAACCTTTGTAAACAAAGGCTCTTTGTAGGGGAGGGATGGGTCTTTAATAATTCTTAAAAGTATAAAGATGTTGTGAGACAAAAAAAAGTTTTGAGAACTGCTTTTCTGGGGAATTATTTCAAGGTTCTTTGTGATGCCCAGAACCATCTGGAGTTTCCTTTCCCAGTGAAATTACAGGCAGGGGAATACTGGAGATGGATTGTACTAGCTCTTTGAGAGATGATTGTTAAATGTTCAAAGTGAGCATTTATACCTTGGAAATCATCTAATACTATAAGTAAGGACTTTATTTATTGCTTTATTGATTTCTAGACTAAAAAAAAGATGGAGAAAATTTTAGTAATGCAGATTAACTTTAAAAGTGTGTTGCACATACATTTTTATTTCCATTCAGAGAGCTGGTTGTTGAATATTTACCAGCATACCCCTGCAGGGCTGGATGTTTACCTTGTCCTTATTAAATTGAACACAGCAACAAAACTGTTCTGTTTTTCTGTGTCCTTTTCCAAGAAGTTTTCTGCTCTCTTTTGCGTATTTAAAAAAATGATGATACTCTTCTTAATCATCATCATCTTTTCTTCTTCTTCTTCTTCTCCTCTGTCAGTATCACTATCTCTATTCCCAACTTCTACCCACAAATCCCAGGCACCAAAATAGAAGCTTTCTCTTATAACAAATATACACTATCAAACTATTTAAATTTATATATCAATTCTGTGTGAAAATGCACGTCTCTTTTCTTTCTTTTGGTCCATTTTCTCTCTACCAAGAGGTAGAGAGATTGGTCTTTGGAGACCTGCTTGATCATTGTATATATCAAGAATTTTAAAGTCTTTCTTCATTATTTTCTTTGTATTCTTATAATGCTTTTAGAATAGTTCCCCTCATTCTACTCTTATCACTGTGCAATCATCATGCAAGTCTTTTTGTGCTTCTTTGAATTTATATCTTTTGTCATTTCACATTATGAAATAATATTCCATTATGTCACATACCCAATTTATGCAAGGAGTGAGCCTTGAACTTGACTCTTCCTGGTTATGTGACCAGCTTTCTATCTAAAATGTATCAAAATAACACATAATCACTTCCTGCCCCCCAGGCCCTATATTTGCTTTTCTTTTTAACTGACTATGGACCTTGAAGATTTTTGAATTCTGAGGTAACACTTGTCTCTTCTACCACAATTAGAATGTAAGTATATGACCATTATTTACTCCCTTTCAATTGTTTAGATACATTTTTTTAAGTTTTTTTTTTGTTTCCTGAGCTACATTTAAAAGATAATAATTATGATTGTGATATTTGTGCAATTAAAGGTCCATTTTTCCCCATGTAGAATTATACTGAACTTCACAGGAAAAGTTATTATTCATTTAAGCTTTTTTCTTTTGGGATATCATATTCCAAGATTTCCTCTTCTTAAGAGAAGCATCAGAATAATATTATTTGATCATGGCTGTTATTCCTTGGTATCTGAAGTCTTTTCTGATTTCTTTCAGTATTTTGTAGTTGATTTGGAAATCCTGGATTTTGTCTATGACATATCTGAGTGTACTTAAGCAGAGGAGATGACTGGTGAATACATCCTTTTTTTTCTTTTTCATTTTGACAATAATAGATCTAAACAGTTTTCTTTTATGTTATTTTTTGATATGTGGTATCCACAATTTTTGTTTATTTATGGTATTCAGGGATTCTAATGATGTTTAGATTATATTACTGTTTTCCAGTTGAGTTGTTTTTGATGGTTAATACCTTACATGTTTCCCAATATTTCAGCCTTTGTTCTATTATTTCTTGGTGTTTCTTTGAATTATTGAATTGTGTTTTCTCTAATCTGTTTTTCAGGGAGTGCCCTACTTAAGTCATTTTTATACCTCTTTTTGTAAGTTATTTATTTGCTTTCTACTTTTTTTCCTTTCAAAAATTCAAATTAATTTATTTTTTGACTCTTGTGTTTTTTCCTCTGACCATTCAGAGTCTTTTAGGCCAGTCTATTCTTAATTCTATTTGCCCTTATTGTAGAATTATTCATTTTTGGTTTTTACTTCTTAGGCGCTTTGGTATTTTTGTCATTGTTATTGTATTAGTAGTGTTTTTTCTCTTTACTCATGTCTCTAGCTTCAGTTTCTGTTTTAGGATTTTGTTCTAGGGCTGGGCTCCACCCCTTCCCCACAGTCCTGGATGGGTTCATAGGTTCATAGAATCATAGATTTAGAACTAGAATGGACCATAGAGATCATCCAGTCTAACACTCTCATTTTACAGGTGAGATAACTGAGGCCCAAATAAGTCTAAAGACTTGCCTAAGGCCACATAGGAAATAATTGTCAGAGTTAGGATTTGCACTAAGGTCCCATGAGTCCAAGTTCAACATCCAAGTTCTGTGCTTTTTCTATTTTATCAGACCTCCACTGCCCTCACTGGCCCTGGCCAATGGTTTTGTCCTCACTGTAGCCTAGATGACACTGCAACATTGTCTTGTTACAAATCTTCATGGGGTGGCTGGTTGCCAATACTCCCTCCCTTCTTCCTCATTTATGGCCTATTATAAGGAGTTTAAGCCAGTTAAGAGTTGGCACCAGGTCTCACTTTCTACCTCTATCTCCTTTGTGGCCCGATTCAAAGGCTGTCTTTGTCTCTTTTGTGCTTGTGATTTCACAAGTACATTGAAAGTTTGTTTGTCCCTTGATGCTGCTGTCACATAGTCCTCAGATGCATTTTGGAGATTATTCTGGCCTCAGAATCCTTGAGAGTCTTGGTATATATCTGACTCTTCTTTGTCTCCATCTTCTTAATCTTATGGTATATCTGATGAGTATCAAATTAGTCTTACATCTCCTGTGGGGACTTTTGTTTAGGGTGCCTTTTGTGGGCTGCCCAGGTGCTATGATGACCCATTTCCCTTGAGAGTCCCCTACTGAGTACCAGATTGAATTTAGGCCTGTTGGAGGTACTTGAGGCATGCATACTTTGCCCAGGTTGGAACTGTCTAGGTCTCCTTGCGCAGTAATATACCACAATCTGGCCTCGACCCTTGCTGCAGCTCCAACACCCTGGGGTTAGCTGACTTCAAAGCCCTGTTTACCAGAGGCTGGTCTGACCTCAGCTCTCTCTGTCCCTACACAGAGCTCCTGCAGACTTCTGAACATCTTCTTGTAGTTCTGGACCAGATAGAGCAGTTTCCTGATATTTCCCTCTGTATGTATTGATCATTGATTCATCAAGAACCCTTGTAATTCTTTACTGGGATATTTCTTATGGGAAGCTGGCTCAGTTTTAACCTTTTGTGATGGTATCTTTATCATTAATCTTTCCTATTTTATCTCCATACATATTGCCTAAATTTGATCAAGAAAAACCAGTTTAATGCATTCAATTTGCAATTTGTATTTTTTTTCACCTCACTGACTCCAAATAACCTATATTTCTTTTTTTCATTTTAATCTACCCTCTCTGAGTGTTACATATATATTCCTGCATCTTTTGGCCATGATTCCTTATGTGCTGGTCCTAAGAAGCCATGAGCCTTAGGATTCCTGTGGTCTGGTACTAGTGAGATAAAGATGCTTTAAACAAAAGATAAAGATTATCTGAGATTAAATCTTGTAAATAATGCATCTACTGAAACAAACTCCCTGATACTCCAGGGAAGCTACAAATCTGTTTTGAGGTTGTCTAATATCTTCATGCATATCTGAGCTAATAACTCTCTTTGTTTTCCAAGTGTAACGGATTTATTTTTCCTACTCTTTGACTTACCTTTTCTGGGAACCCAAGCCATCTCAGGGACTTGTTTAAGTGTATTGTCTCATAGTCTATTGAGTCTTGACAGAAGCCAGAGCCATATGTGCCTATGTTTAGAATTGGATTTTAGTCCTGAGAGAGGCTTTTGGAAATTGTCCAGTCCACTCTCCTTATTTTACAAGTTAATACTACAAATAATAGCTACAATTTATAAAGCACTTTAACATTTTCAAAGTGCTCTGTATCTCCTTTGATCCATTCAACAACACTGAAAGGTAAGTGCTATTATTTTTCCTCCCCACCCACCTTTTTTTTTTTTGTTTACAGTTTGAGGAAACTGAGTTTAGACAGTTGAGTGACTTGCTCAGAGTCACACAGCCAATGAGTATCTGAAGTAGGATTTGAACTCAGGTCTTACTGACTTGCTGACCAAGTCCAGAATATGTGAGGCCTATTAGGAATGAGACAATATGTTCTTTGAAGATTAGACTTTAATTATCTACTCTGTGACCTTTTTGCCTAAAATAGGCTATAGGAAAAAATGTCTTTTTTTTTTTTAATTTAAAAGATCCAATGCCTGTATTAGTCTCTGAGATTGAGTTCTATCATTCTAATATTCTATCTTTTCTTGTCTAGGAGTCATCCTGGTACATTGGAAAGAACAAAGCCTCTGGATTTGGAGTCAAGTCCATGTTCTGCCACTTAATTTTTGTGTGACCTTGGGCAAATTAACTCTTGGTGACAAGTAACCTTTGAGAGCCTTAGTTTCCTCATCTATATGATGAGAGAGTTGAACTATCTGATAGCTAAGGTCCCTTCCATACCCTTCCATACCTAAGTCTGTGATCCTGCCTGATCCTTTGAGTGAAGCAGACTCATGAAGTAACCTGAGCAATGAAGAATTATTAGAATCTGATGAAATAATTGGAAAACCAGGAAACATGAAAGGCTAAGCCTGTGGTTAATTTATAATATGATTCAATGCAATAGAAAGGCTGGAGATCAATCTTGTTCATAAAAACTCCTTTAAGAAAAAAGAGAGAGATTCTGAAGTCAGATATCTGGGCATAGAAACAGTATGGAGTGGTTGAATATGCCCTCTACTTGTCATCAGAACAAGGCTTGAGACCCAGCTATACAAGTTGCTAACTGTATGACCATGGTCAAATGATTTTCTCCTGTCTGAGCCTCAGTTATTTTTGTCTTTGTGATATAGTTAATCATAGTGCCACAGGCTTTTCATGAGTAATAAATGAAATAATGTAGGCACTATATATTTCAGAGTCATCACCCTATCTGCCTTAGTGGAAGCCTGACTAGGAGTCTCTTACTGCAAATGGAATCACAAATTAAGACCAAGAAGAAAATACGATAAACAAAATTCTCAATTTACAAAGAAAAATAATTTATCTCACATTAAAATGGTAGACTTCTTAATCTAAGGTACCTCATCTTTGTATTTCCTTCAGAGTCTAGAACAGGGTTGAATCAATAATGGAGGTTTAATAAATGCTTGTTAAATTTATTGAAGGTTTTGTGTAAAAAAAATAAAAATCCAGCTTTATTGTAAGATCCCAAATGTGTTTAAAATAGGATTTGACTTCCAAGCATTCATTTTGTAAAGCAGGATTTTAGTCCCAATGCTGCCTTGAGTTGTTTACCTTTATGCAGACCACTTCCCCCTTTTTGTACCTCATTTTCTTCATTTTAAAAAAGGGGAGATTGAATTGAATAGTCTTTAAGGTTCCTCTCCAGTTGTAACTAACATTCTATGCTCTATATTCCTAAGGTTCCTTCCTGTTCTGACATTTAATATTCTATCGTCAGTCAAATCAACAAGATTTATTGAGAGCTTACTATGTGCCAGATACTATGCTAAGCACTAGGGATATAAGAACATAACCTGATTGGAAAAAACAAAACAAAACAAAACAAAACAAGGAAATCCCTTTACTAGGGTGACCTCTTCTAATCATATTCATTTATGTGATGTTCAGATGTTCTTTGCTCTTGGACATTTCATTTACATAACAATTCCACTGACATATATTCCTAGAGATTGAGTTTTTCCTTTTGTCTTTTCCAAAATAAGGGCTTTGGGGCAAAAAAAAAATAACTTCTATACTATTATATGCTGGAAATATACATATAGATATATATTATTCACACATGTACTCTGCACATGCATATACACATATCTGTGTGCATATATATATATATTCATTAAAAAGTAACTCTTTAATGATACATAAGAAACAACTTGCATGATTACAACTTGTTAGCTTTGCTTCTGTTCCAGTTCCGTTTAGAAAAAAAAAATATGGCTTTACATTCCCACCTGCTGATTTTCAACTAAAACAGAACTTAGTTGCCTGCTGATCCTGCTGGCTTTTTAAAATGAAAAACTTATTCTTCTTAAACTCCTGGAAAATTGTATTTAAAAATCAACATAATGCTACTGCCTTTTCTTTCCCTCTGCCTTGAAAAATATTAGGGAAATATCTGGAACAGCCAATTGTCATTTCTTGAACAGATTTAGTCCCTGTCATGAAGAGGGCATGGAGTTGAAAGTTAGCAGGAAGGAGAATTGGTTTTTACAGGGCCGTTTAAATCAGTGTCAGCATGGGGTCCTAGGAGAAGCACCAGATTTGAAATCAGAAGATCTGACTTTGAGTCTCAGACTGCTATTCACAACCTGTTTGTAAATAGCATGTTCCTTCCTTAGGCCTTTGTTTCATTAAAATGAAGGGGTTGGAATAGATGATCTCTAAAGTCCTTGCCTGGCTCTGAATCTCATGTTCTGAATGAAAAGACATGTCTAACTGCCCAGTTGAAAGAGGTGAGCTTCCATTTTGTCTCGCCAGAAACAAACCAGGCCTCAGTGCTTTTTCCTGGCTATATTCATGCTTCTCCATCCTAAACAACCATTCCCCTTCCTCCAGCTCCCCTTAATACATTGTCTTCTTCCCTTAGAATGTAAGCTCCTTGAGGGCAGGCACTATCTTGCTTTCTTATATTGATATGCTCAGCACTTATCATGGTGTCTTATACATAATAAATGCTTTCTCTGTTTATCTAATGAGGGTTTGGTACAGTTGTTTTGTGGCAGATTTTCCTTAAAAACACAAATGTTTATCACATAGTCATTGTCAGGAGGAAAAAATAATGAGCTAATAAATGTGAAGCATTTTGTAAAACTTAAAAGTCTTAAATACATGTGAGTTAATAAATTATTAACTACCACTCACACACACAATAAATTTCAGCACTAGATATGAGTTCGTGGTAATTAGAGAGGCAGCATATTGACCAGGGTATAATGGAAGGAGCCTTGGATTGAGAATCATGTGACTTGGGTTTCATTGCTGATTCTGTCTCTGATCGAGTTAGAAAGCCTTGGAATGAATGAAACAAGAATTTGTTAAGCACCCACTTTGTGCTAAGCACTGTGCAAAGTGTTTTACAAATGCTATCTCATTTCATCCTCACAATGACCTTGGGATGTAGGTGCTACTATTATTCTCCCCATTTTATAGTTCAGGAAACTGAGGCAGATAGAGTGATTTGCTAAGGTCACACAGCTGGAAAGTGTCTGAGGTTTAACTTGAACTCAGGTCTTCTTGACTTCAGGCCCTGTACCACTTAGCCATCTATGACAGGTCCAGCATTTTCTTCCTCCAATGGCCTTGCCTTCCCTGTTACAGCTTTCTCCACACACATACAACCCTCATACAACCATGCAATTTCTTTTGGCACCAACTTCCCTGATTTCTCCCCTAATGCAGCTTTCTCATCAAGAGGCATAAAAGGTTCTAGCTGGGTGTTCCCATGGCCTCTGGGACTTGGGTGCCTGAGACCGCATAAGTCACAGTACCACTGATGACTTATAGACCAGATGTAGTTTCCAAATGAAGATGAGTGGGAGGGTGTCCAGGGAATCTACCTGCCATTCTATCCCTGCTGTATATCCTTGCAGTGTTAAGGCAAAGTAAACCTCCTCCTTTGATAAATATTTAGTGACTTGTGAAAGTCTCATTTTGTCCCAACATCAAACCTTAACTAAGAACGTGCTGGCTTTAGATATGGACCCACAATGCCACTTCTCTGGGTCTGTATTTTTGGATCAATAAAATGAACACCTTCAGAAGCTTTACCATCAGCCTGGCTCTGACACTTTATGATTTGAAGTCATCTTTCAGATCTGATACTCTTTGTTCTGTTACTAACATAAAGGTCTTTTTGTATGCTGACATTCCATAATAAACATTTTTACAAAATGAAAACACAACTGAAACTGTCAGTATAATAAGCCAGCTGTCAACCATTCATACCTGGTTGAGAGAGAAGGAATCATTTTGGAATTTGGGATACTAGCCTGCACACAGAGCTTCAGTGAGTAACTCTGAGGATCCAGTAAAAAGACAAAACATTGGGAGAGCTGCAGAGAGTAGAAGAACAGCTAGCACTTATACAATGTTTTAAGCTTTGCAAAGAGTTTTATATATATTATCTCATTTTATCCTTGCAACATTCTTGGTTTTAGGTGCTATTATTATCACCATTTTACAGATGAGGAAACTAAGAAAGTTTAAGTGACTTGCAAGGGTCACATAGCTAGTAAGTTTCTGAAGCTGGATTGGACTTCAGGTCTTCTCGATTCCAAGTCCAAGACTCTATCCACTAAACCACCTAGCTGCCTCTAAAGGGCAATAGGAGGAAGAAAAGGAGAAGAACAAGGAAGGTGAGAGGACTTGTATTAGCCCCTTTATGGTTTTGCCAAGATCTGGCCTTGGCAAGCATATTCCAATATATATGATCATGTTTACAGCTTTTATTTTAGAGTGAGGAATAGGGACTGAACCTGTGATTCCCCTGGTATGGAGGAAATTCTTGGATGAAGAAACTCTCCAAATGCAAAGTGGCACCTCCTCCGCCAACTCATGGTTTTAGTGAGCTGCCTGGAACTCTGGGAGGATCACATAGACTGCATGTGTTAGGGGTGGGATTAGACATTTACTAACCCACATGAATCTTTAAGTGCCAAAATACATGATGGGGAGATGTTTATGAGGAGTGCTCCATGGTTTCTTTCTTTCTTCTTTTTTTTTAAGGCAATTGGGGTTAAGTGACTTGCCCAGGGTCACATAGTTAGTAAGTGTCAAATGTTTGGTTTGAGGCCAGATTTGAATTGAGGTCTTCCTGACTTCAGGGACAGTGCTCTATCCTCTGAGCCACTTAGCTGCCCCTGCTCCATGGTTTCTTGAGGGAGCCATTCCTCACCCAAATTCACTGAAGAGATAAATAATTATGATGCATTTGATGATGATGATGATGATAATGATGATGCTTCCACTAATAAATGATAGATAGATGATAGATATATAGACAGGCAAACAGAGAATTATAGATTGTGATAGATATATTGATAGGAAGACAGATTGAAAGACATAGGTAGATAGATAGGTAGGTAGATAGATAGATAGATAGACAGACAGATAGATAGAGACATCTAGGTGGCTCAGTGGATAGAACAGTGGGCTTGGAATCAGGAAGACTCATCTTCCTGAGTTCAAATCCAGCCTCAAACACTTACTATCTTTGTGACCCTGGGCAAGTCACTTAACCTTTTTTGCCTCAGTTTCCTCATAGGTAAAATGAGCTGGAGAAGGAAATTGCAAACCACTCCAGTGTCTTTGCCAAGAAAACTCCAAATGGGGTCACAGAGCATCAGATATGAGTGAAAAAATGCTGAATAGATAGACAGACAGATTAGATAGATGTGTCAGAGGTGGAATCTAAACACAGGTCATCTTGGCTCCAAAGTTAGGTGGTTCTGTATCCACTCTGCCAGACTGTCTTTCATTTTACAGACTAGCAAACCAAAAAATAGAGCAGTTAAGTAAGTTGCTCAAGGTGACACAGCGAGCCAGGTCTCCAGAAATAAAGGTGAGTGCTCTCTTCAAAGTACCACACTACCGCTTATATAGGTGTGTGCAAATAATATAAATGTTTAATGGAAGGAACATTGGATGTAGGGTTGCTTTAGACCTGAATTGGCATCTGGGTTCTGACATATTGACTCTGTGATCTTGGCCATGTCAACTAATTTCTCTGCATATCAGTTTTCTCTTCTACAAAATGGGAGTAATAATTCTTGCACTCTTGACTTTTCAACGTTCTTTTGAGGAGAGTTTAACATGCTCTAGAAATATGAAATGTTTTATTTCCATAAGGGGGTAACAAGGTATGTGCTTTGCTGTCAATGAAGAACAAAGTATTTTCCTGGAGGTTAGAGAAAGAGTTTTCTTTCTCCCTTTTACTGCTCTTGGGGAGGCTAGGATTATGTGAGGTCAGGGTTTAGATGAGAAAATTTTTGAAAATATCTTTATCTTCATTTCTATCAGATAAGAAACAAGTGCAGAGTCATCTCAAAGAAAAGTCAGGCAAAAATATGCAATTCTTTGAATATCCTTTCTAACCTTTCCTGTTTTCTAGTATGTCCTTAAAAAGACAACCAGACAATAGATGACTATCAGGTAAAGAAAGAAAAAAAAAGATAACAGAAAGTACTAATATGACTCTCTGAAATTATTAGCTGTTTAGCTGCTGCCTGTGATATGCACTAAAAATAAACTTATGCTTAATATCTGACCAAGTTTCTGACTATATTCACACCTCAAACTAATAGTGCTCATTTCTTTTTTAAAATAGATTTTCATTGATAAATTATGTTCTTACATCACCTAGATTTCCAACTATATGTCATCCCCTCCCTTCCCAGAGACTTATCCCTTAAAACAAAGAAACTTTTTTTTTAAAAAGAAGAGAAAAATATAGCCAAACTGATTAAAATATTGGAAAAAACCCTGAAGTTATAATATCCTATATCCCTGGACACCCCAATCCCCACCTCTGTAAAGTGGAGGGGAGGAAAGAGTTATCTTCACATATTGCTTCTTTGGGGCCAAAGTTTTTCTTTGTAATTATCCAACATTCATTTCCATTTTTGTAATCATTGTGCTTATTATTTTCTTACCTCTGCTTACTTTATTTTGTATCTATTAATGTAAGTCTGTCAATGTTTCTCTATATCCATTGTATTCATCATTTCTTATGGCACAACAATATTCCA